CCGGTGATAGGGCAAAGTCCAACGAAGGCCGATGGCTGGACAGAATGATACAAGCTTGAGAAAGCAAGAGAGATGCTTCATTTTTTATCTCTTCCTCTTCCCCTTTATGTGAATAATGATAGGCTATTTATAGTTTTTAAAAAATATCATGGACATTAAATAGGGAGAAGATCAAAGGCAAGCTAGGAGTATTTCAAATGGATGGCCAATATCAACTCCATTGTTCATGGGCCGTTATTCAAGCATTTCAGTGTCAAAGTGATGTCAAAATTCAGCGATCTTAGCCTCGTTGGATTCATTTCATCGAGCAGTTCGATTTGATTATAAGCATGTCATATTTTGATGTCATTTGATTATCCAATTTGTGTTTTTAATCCTCTAAATATTATTCGGGCATTTGATTGGACCCATTTGGGCTTGGATTGGATCAAATTTGCTGTCATTGGGTTCGTCTTTTTAAGACGTTGAGTTGACTATATATAAGTTTGCTAAAATTGGAGTTCAGATGACGCCGTGAAGTTTCTAATTAGAATTTGCCTCGACATTTGTGCCCGACCAAGAAAATTTTCTTTATTTGTATTTGCTGGAAAGTGAATTAGTAGGGGGCTCTTTTTTTATAGAAATTATGCGACCTTCTTTGGTTCTTTAGCTTTGGCGTGCTTCGGCCGGCAAGCTTTGGTCCCTATTTGTGTTTATTAAATGATCTTCTCTATTATCATAGCTTTATTAAATATGTAAACTCGTGTGATTATGATTTTATGAAAGTATAGAACGAAGGGTTCTGATTGGGTGGGTGGAGCCCACCAAGTCCGTTAGAAATCATTAATATAATATTATGGTCAAAAACTATTGGGAAGACTAATCTTGTCAGTATGATGTTGATGTCAGTTATCACTATGTTGCATAGATTCTAAATGATTTTGAGATTATAAAAAATATTTTAAAAAAAAAAAAATATCTTTATAGGATATAATAAAATAACCAAACTCTAATAAAAAAAAGGCAAATGAAAATGAAATAGTTTTTCAATTTATGTTGGAGATTATTTTATTAAAATTCTGAGTTCAAATTTTTAGAAGAATCAAAATCATTCAAAATGAATATATATATATATATATATATATATATATTATTGATCTAATAATTAAAGAATTATTGGATTAAAATTAATTTATTTTTGAAAGCATAATATTATTCTTTAAAAAAGCTTTTATGCCATACTTTTGATTAAATAAAATGATTTCCTCACAATTCTTTGAATTAAAATTTTGTTAGGATATTTTTTTATGATATTGGATCTAATTTACTATATGTATTTTTGATTTCATGCGATAATATATTGTCCTATGATTTTATATTATCATACTGATTCTCGTATTTATATTTTTCTATTATGTTTATATTTGTGAATGTATAATAGTTTCGCTGTATTGTCAAATAATTTAGTTGTATTTCTCTTCTATTTTATAGATAATTAAAAATTTCATGTATTCTTATAGATATTAAAAAAATTTCTTCCAAAAATTGCACTTAAGCACGCAGATATTCAGAAAATTTATTTCAAGATTACCTGTAATTAATCCTACAATTTTTTTTTAAAATCTTTTTTTTTTTCCATTTGGGAGAATTAAGCAACAATGTCTGGGCTCACACACGAAAAATTATTTGGTGTTGTCTCCAGACATAGCTCTACGTTCTGAGTCAAATACAACGTCGTTACGTGGCGGCCCAATAACCCTGCTAGATCAAAACTTAATATTTAGCTCATGCTTTCCAACTTATTGCACGGCCCGACGACCCGACCCGAACCGCACGCGAAAAGTCACTTTTACTTAAAAGAGCATTGCAGCCATTCAATTGAACATCATATGCACATTACTCGAACCCAGCAAGATCTCTTTTTCTTATTTTTCTCCTTTATTTTAATTATGCACACACAACACATATGTAAGCTGACTTGAACCAAAAATAGTTAATTGAGTTATAAAACAAAATAATTTGAGTATTATTTTCTAAACAATCTTCTCTTTTGTTTTAAGAAAATAAAGATACACTTAATTTTTTATTCTAAGGTAATTATATAAAAAATATATATCTGTTGAGTACTGGAACATTCACGGCAATAGAGAGATAAATAGCTTAACGTCCTAGCTTTGAATGCAGATCCAACACACATTCAGATTAGGAGAGAGGGTTGCGAGAGTCACAAGAGATACCATAATTTTAACGTGGAAACTCCTAAAAAGGTAGAACAACTACGGGGCCTCACCCGGTTGAAATGACTCCAATATTATTTATTGTTGACTACAAATGATGCCCTTCCTTGGGGGAAGGCGCTAGCTTAATATAGAAAATATATAGCACATTACATAATTGGGGTTGAAAAAATCCAAATATATGAGAGTTATTCATAAGAGAATGTTGGCCTGTTTGTTTCCTTGGTATGATCATAGTCAAGCGACGGATATTAGAGGGATTGTAGTCAAGCGACCTAGGTCGGAGAGATCATAGTTGGGGGATTGTAGTCAGGTGACCATGGTCAGAGGGACTATAGTCGGTGAGCGATGATGTAGACAAGCGACAATCGAAGGGATCATAGTTGGCAGGCAATAAAGGTTGGAGAGAGCGTAGTCAGTGAGAGACAGTGGTTGGAGGGACTATAGTTGACAGGCGACGGAGGTTAGAGGGACCATAGTCAACGGGCGAAGGAGGCATAAGGGACCCAAATCGATGGGAGACCGTGGTCGTAGTGACCGCAGTGGAAGAATGATGATGGTTGGAGGGAATGTAGTTGATGGACGACTATGAATTGAGGGACCGTAGTCGTCGGGCGACGGAGATCGGGAAACGGAGGTCGAATGGACCATAATTAGTGGGAGACCGTGGTCAGAGGGACCGTAGTCAACGAGCGACAATGGTTGCATGGGCTGTAATCAAACGACGGTTGTCGGATGGTCCATAGTCGGGCAACGATGGCCGAAGGGATGATAATCGTGGGACGAAGAAGGTTAAAAAAACTGTAGTTGGGCTATGGTGGTGGAGGGACCGTAGTCAGTGGTTGACTGTGGTGGAGGGACTTTAATTGGCTGGCGATGGCGATCAAAAGGACTATAGCTGAAGGACAATGGTCAAAGGGACCATTATCGGCGGGTGACAGTGGTTGGAGGGATCGCAGTCAGCAAGAAATGATGGTCAGATGGACCATAGTTGGCGGGAAACTGAGGTCTAAATGACCATAGTTGGGTGATGATGGTCACAGAGATCGTAGTTGACGAGCGTTGAATTTCGGAATGATTATAATTGGGAAACCATAGCAGACGGCATGCGATGGAGCTCAAAAAGATCGTAGTTGGGGGATGGTGGCCAGAGGGACCGTAGTCGGCATGTGCTAATGGTTGGATGGGTCATAGTCGGTGAGCAATGGTAGTTGGAGGGACCGCAATTGACAGACGATGGAGGTCGGAAGGACTGTAGTCAGATGGTAATAGCCAGTGGAAGACTAATCGGTGGTGGCTAAACGGTTGCATGGGCCTTAATCAAACGACGGTTGTCGGATGGTCCATAGTCGGGCAATGATGGTCGAAGGGATGGTAATTGTAGGACGAAGAAGGTTAAAAAAATTGTAGTTGGGATATGGTGGTGGAGGGACTTTAATTGGCTGGCGATGGAGATCAAAAGGACTGTAGTTGGAGGACAATGGTCGAATGGACCATTATCGAATGACAGTGATTGGAGGGATCGCAGTCAGCAAGAAATGATGGTCGGAGGGACCATAGTTGGCGGGAAATGGAGGTCTAAATGACCATAGTTTGGTGATGATGGTCAGAGAGATCGTAGTCGACGAGCGTCGAATTTCGGAATGATTATAATTGGGAAACCGTAGCAGACGGCATGCGATGGAGCTCAAAAAGACCATAGTTGGGGGATGGTGGCTAGAGGGTCCGCAGTCGGCGGGTGCCAATGATTGGATGGGTCATAGTCGGTGAGCAATGGTAGTTGGAGGGACCGCAATTGACAGACGATGGAGGTCGGAAGGACTGTAGTCAGACGGTAATAGCCAGTGGAAGACTAATCAGTGGTGGCTGAACGGAGCTTCGATGGCGATAATCAAGCAAAGGTTCAGCAACAGTGGTCAAACAGATAGGATTCACTGGTGGTGGCGTCGAGGTGGAACACCAGAATTCTTCTAGCATAATAGCTTTCTTAGCCCAAGATCTGAGCATCCAAAGCTCTCTCTCTCTCTCTCTCTCTCTCTCTCTCTCTCTCTCTCCTCCTCCTCCTCCTCCTCCTCCTGCTCATGTAATAGGAGGTGGTCAATTTATTGATTATGAGAGTGGCATACCCTATAAATATGAAGAAGATTCATGTCAAATCCGGAGTGCTCCAGCGGACGACTCACACCGGTTCCCTTAATCATAGAGCATTCATCAAGCATTTAAGAACCTTAAAGATGTCAATATTAAGTGATCATTAGCACATTGGATTCATCTCGTTGAGCCGTTAGATTTGACTATAATCTTTTCATATTTCGATATTATTTGGCCATCCAATTAACACATTGGAGCTTCCAAATATGCTTTAAGCGCTTGATTTGAACCCATTTGGGGTCGAATTAGATCAATTTTAGTGGCATTGGATTCGTCTGTTCCTCATAGAGACATTTAGTATGAGTATAAGTTTACATAAATTGGAGTTCGGGTGATTCTAAATTTAATTTTGAAAGTTTTCAATTCATATATGAATCAAGATTCATATCTGATGATCAAGACAGTTTTTGGAGACGTATCAACATCAAAATATTTTAATAAAAAAATTATCATGATGAACTTTGAGATAAATGCAATACATACATGAGTAATAATTAAAATTTATATTACAATTATCACAAAGTAAATTAAAATTTTAAAATTATTATTTACTAAAAATATTAATTAAGAAATTCTGATAATTTGTAAATTGAAATTAACTTCTATCAAATATATGTCTATTTTAATAATTTATCCTATATTTTTAAATAAAAAAACATTACATCTTAACCTGAAATGCAATCTATTTCCTCACTTAATATCAGAGACACAATCTCTCGATCCGGCCACCTCCACCGTCCGATTCGAGTCGAAGCTCAAATTACAAACCATCTTCACTCCCACAGCCCGCTTAAAAACCCCCAAAACACTCACCTTTCCCTCCACCTCCGTCCTGCTTCTAATCCTCACAATCCTCCGATCATCCAAAACCGAAACGGAAACGCCTGGTTCTGTCACCACCAACGCCGATACGTTCATCCTAACAATTCTCTTCGCCGCCACTCTCAGCCCCGCCCCACGCCCTGATCCCACCACCCTATCCTTCATGTAAAACTCCGTCACACTCTCACCAAACTGAAACGCCGCGGCATTCGGATTTCGGACCGAAATATCGGCCACCACCGTTGCGTTCAACAATAAAGGCCTCTCCGTAGGCCTGTCATCGGACAAATGGATGTCGCGGAAGAAGACAGCGTTCATTGTAAGGCTAGGGTCTGAGACTTGAAAGACGGTGAAGGCGAGGATGATGGCGATGACGCCGAGGAGGAGGAGGGTGGTGAGGCAGAGACCGCAGAGGACGGCAAGCAGCTTGCTGCAGCGGTATCGACGGAGGCGGTAGCCGGAGATGATGAGATTGTTGGGGGATTCCTCGTCGGTGCCTGAGATTCTGGCAAGGTTGCCGGAGAATGGCCGGAGCTGGGTTATGGATTGCTCTGTTTTGTTCTCCATTTTGTTTATCTGTTTTTTTTTAGCTCAATTAGACCGTTGGAGTTAAACACAGATTTAATGCACCTAAGTCGTTGTGGAAGTCTCGTGGAAAATGGATTGCTTGGATTCTTCTAGAAGTATGTGGTTGATTTCGTGGGTCTTCTTATATGATTTTAATTTTATTTCTTAAAATTATGTTTTTCTATTTCTTCTAGAGATAATAATTAATATTGATAAATAGGAGTTTCTTTTAAGTTAGTATCTCATTTTGATCTCTTGGTTATGAGTTTTGAGGGCAAATTATTACGTCTGGTGTCCGGATTCGTTCGTACACCAATTCAGACGCGCCATATCACCATAATATATACATCGTGACCCAGTGTCTGGATTGGGTGTACGGACGTCCGGTGACCAGACGTAATAATTCGCCGTAGTTTTAACTATCAATCAAGAGGTCTTGAAATTGAGTCTTATGTATGTGTTACGTGTTTGAGTTTGTCTTAGTTAGCCTAAACGTCCAATATATGTGCAATTTAAAATTAAAATAAAAATAAAAAAACTATTGAGTCACGGTCCTTTATCACAACTCTTAAAAGAGAATTATCCCCCTTTCTTTTTTGCTCACAACAATATGAATTGAATGCTCCACCCTTCAATTCCATAAATATGTCAAAAATGGATAGGGATATCCTAATCAAATTTAATTATGATATATATGATATATAAATGATCAAACAAAATTTAAATTGCACTAATAGAAGAATAAAAGAATAATATCAAAGTATTCAAATATTTTTTTTATATTAGAGAGTATCTATACTTTATTATACGTGTCATTGATTTCATGCGTCAAATGCTATCACTTAATATGAATTAATTATTAGACTGAAGACTAATAGTCATAGATATACTCATATCTTTATTTAAATTCTTGATATTTAATTGGGGTGTCAAAACAGTTAATAGGTCGGATTCAACCCGAATTCGATCAGCCCAAATCCAACCCTTTGAACAAACATGTAAAATAAGTTGGCCCAAACCTGACCCACTAGCAACTTAAATCTGATCCAATAACCTGTTTTAATTAAAAAAATATTTTTACTAAATTTTTAATTATAGATTTTATATTAATTCATTAAAAATAAGAAAATTATATCAACATATAAAAGAATTAAAAAAAATAAACATATCACTTTCAAATTGGCGGGCCAACCCGAATACGAACCGTTTAATAAATGGGCCATAATACACAACTCGAACTCGACCCATTTATTAAATGGATCAATCCTAATCCGAATTTTTCAGGTTTAATTATATATTAACACCCTAATCATTAAGAAAAAGACCTAAATATTAACTATTAGACCAAGAATTAAGAAAAGTTCTATTTCTTCTATTTTTATAATAGAAAAAACTTCCTTCGGTATCCTTAATATGTAATAATAGATACATAAGTTAGTGAAGTTGAACAAGTCACTGACCTTTCAATAGCGTGAGAAGCGCAAATTATTACGTCCGGTGTCCGGATTCGTCCGGACACCAATCCAGACACGCCACGTCACCAAAATATACCGGGACCCAGTGTATTCGGGTGACGTGACACGTCTGGATTGGGTGACCAGACGTAATAAATCACCTGTGAGAAGAGGGCATCTTTTTTCTAAATTTGTCAGTTTAAAATTAAAAAAAAAATCAAAATATTCAAAGATATATTTGAAAAATAATTAATTTTTGTACAATAAATTATGTTTAATTCATAATATAACATTCAATAATAAAAAATAATTGAAACTAAAACTTAAAAAATGATTAAATGATTAATATTCTACAAATTTAGATAAGATAAAAATTAAGAGTGGATCAATGATTTAAATCACCGACATAATATTAAGGACATCATATAGTTCATGTCTCGATCTTAACATTTTAATATAATTTTATAATATGTAAATATATTAATATATTACCATTAATAGATACTTTTAATATTAAATAATCATTTGTGGCCTTTTTTTAAAATAATAAAATTAGTTTATATATATTACTGATTTATTAGAGAAAAAAGTGAAAAAGAGCGTGAGTTGGTATAAGTTCAAGTAAATGAACTTATTATTAGGAATATTGATATTAATCCTATTTGTCCTCTTTGCTATTGCTTTGAGGAATCTATTTTTCACATGTTTTATGAATGTGGTTATTCCTTTAACATTTATATATAGCCTTTTCTGGTGCTATCATTTTTATGATAAGGCCTAACATTTTTCTAGTATTTAATTGTATTCATGGTGATCATAGGCTTTCTTTGAATTCTAAATGTTGCTACTATTTAGCCATTTGTGCCTTTATTACATTTGACATGAGCGATTAGAAGGGTTATTTTTTTTGGACATTTAGATCAATTAAGGTAAACTCACACACACATCACATACACAAAGACTCAAAACCAAAACCTCTTAGTTGGTAGCCTAAGCTATCAACCAATAAGCAAGGTGAGCTATGATTAGAAGGGTTGTTAAAGCCAAGATCTATTGTTGGAAGAACAATGATAGATATTTGAGTATTTTATTCTAAATTTTTTGCTTTATATGATTATGCTGCATTAAATCTCTGATGTTTTTAGCTTCCTTTTGTATTGTTGGTAGTGTCTTTCATACTCTGGTGCTGGTGACTTCATTCTCTATGTTGTTTTGGATATGCTTCTATTCGTCTACTGAGGGTTTTCTAGACAATGATGAGACTACCTTCCTTCCCTACCTTGACGGTCATTGCTTTGTTGGCAATCTTTGAGGCAATTTGTGGCTTGAGATATTCATTTTTGTTGGATGATTTCTTCTTGTGATTCGTTCTCCTTATCCACTATTCTAAGGTTTTTGGTGAAGTAGTTCAGCTATTCCTTTGAGGATGTTGTTGGTTTTTGTCCTTGATATGTTTATTAGATCTAGGTATTTTTGAACTTTTGCATCCATGGAAGGTCCTTAGCCTTGGTAAACCAAGTGGGGCTCTTCCTTTTGAGATTTTTGTTGGAAGGCTTGCTCTTTTCGAGTCGTGTGGGCTTTTTGCCTTTTAGTCTATCGTAGCCTGAATCGAGCTTTTATCGAGCTTATTATCGAGCTTGTTCACGAACTTCAAATGATATTGTTCGCGAACATAAATGAGCCGAACGCATTAGTGTTCAAGTTTGTTTATTTAAGAATCGAGTATTTAAAATATTGTTCAAGTTTGTTTGTTTAGCGAATTAAACGATCACAAACGAGCTTTAATCGAACCAGACAACGAGTAGCTCGTCGAACGTTTGGTTCGCTTGCAGCCCTATGATAAATCAACTAGTGGTAGAATAGTCAAGCAAGCTATGGAATTTCTAGCTTGACGGTAATATTATCATGGGAAGATTCTAGAACAATTTTCTCTGACTATAGAATACAACCAAGAAGTCAATGTTCAAAGTTTGTTAGGTTGATATGATAGAGATATTGAGGGAATATTTCGTGGGAGTTTAAGTTAAGTTAAATTAAATTAACTAAGTTAAAGTTAATATTTTAATTGGAGATTAATAAATTGATTAGTGCAAAAAATAAACTTTTATGAATTGAGATAATTTGAGGAAATTAATTGATTATATTTTTTACTTAAAGCTCATATTTTTAAATTCATTATCATATTGTAATGTATAATTAACTATGAATCATGTTTAGTAAATTTTAGTTTAAGCATTATTAATTAAAGTTATGATACGCCCTTTTAAATATATAAGAATTCTTTTAAGGGAAGTTTTTATTTATCATTATGAGTATTTAAATGTTTAATTAGTTATTGTTGTGTTTATTTACAATAGTACAAAGATAGAGAATTTATTTTCTTAGAAAATGTATGAAGATCCAACCCATACATAAATTAGAGAGGAGTACAAAAATTGTAAGAGGCGTCAAAGTTTTTATGTGAAAAATCCACAAAAGAAAAAACTCACGAGGCTTGACCAAATTAAAATGATTCTACTTATATTTTTAATTTATTACAAATGATGTCCTTTATCTAGAGAATGTATTAATTCAATTTAATAAATATACAATGCATAGAACATATTCACGGTAGAAGTTTGAATAACCCTATATATGTGATGAGAGCTATATTTAAGAAATTATTTGCTTGTTTGTTTTAGACATACACTTCTAAGGAGAAGACATCAGTGATTGGGAAATCCAGTTGAAGTTCTCATGCTGACGTTGGGAGTTAGAGTTGATTTTGATGGCATACATCAATCTTATAAATAGAGGCATACATTTGCATTATTAACAATGGTAGGTGTTCAAATTAGTAGGTGTTGGTGTAGTAAGATGACAACGATCAGAAGATTGTATGACATAGGAGGACTGCAATCAAGCAGTGCTATTTGGAGGACTCTAATTGGGAAATATATAAAGAGGAATGTAGTCGAGGGACATTGGTAGAAAGACCCTAGTTGGGATACATTAGACTGAAAAACACCGTAATAGCCAGGGCTTTTACTTGTTGAGTGTTGTGAGTATGATTACTGATTACTAAATTTATCGTTACTGTACGGATTTACTGTTAATGCATGATTTTACTGTTATAGCAAGTTCATGTCACTGGATTGTTACTGATACTGATGCAGGCACTGCTATTACTGATTCACTGTACTGACATTATGCACGTGATATACTGTGTAAGTGATATGTGATTCACTGAATACGTGATATAGATTATTAGATTGCATGTGATTCACTGAGCACGTGATATTGGATAACTGAATTGTAAGTGTACATCATGATATGATTCTACGACCTTGATTGATTCAAACTGTTTCAAACGATGTTATGATTTTATTTCATTGATTTGATTTCAACAGTCATGAACGATAGTATTGATTTGACATTTTATACTGACTGATATTATTGAATCGATGAATTCTCTTTATACGATTGATATTATTGACACGATGATTTATTGACTGATTTGATTGGTATTACCGATACGAAGATTTCTTTAACGATTTAACTGAAATTTTAGATATGAAGATTTGTCTGCTGAATTGACTGGGGTTATTGATACGACTACTACTATAGAGATTTGAAGCATGTAATGATTCATTGAGCTTTACGAACTTTTATACCATTTATTGATTCTTCCACTGATAACGATGGCTTCACACGTTCCTGTATTGATTTTTGTTATTGTACTGATTACTGCCTATGCATTGCTTCCTATTTTTGCATTGACTCAATGATCATGTGTAAGTGACTGATATTGATTTGACTGATTGACATGCATATTGCTTTCATACCGTGCTTTGATTTTAGTTGTAGGTATTTGGTGACCTGCTGGGCTTTTTGAAGCTCATTATATGTGGTTAATATTTTCAGGTCAGGGAGCAGGAGATTGAGGTTGATAAGGAATTCTTTATAGTTTTTGTCCTTTTGTTATAGTGATTCTTTTTGTACTCAGGGCATAATATATTACATGTGATTAATATGTAAATCCTGAGTATTGTAAATGAACTTTTGGGAATGAATATAAATGTTTACTTGATGTTTTAAATTATAGATTTTGTTAAATTGTTTATCACTGATGGATGACTATAGATAGCTCTGGTAGTTGATGGTTTAAAGGATTGACTGAATAATTATTCCAAGTTAGAACTTGGTGTGTTTTTCAGTCTTGTATCATATATCTTGTATGTTTTTCAGTCTTGTATCATATATCTTTTATGTTTTTCAGTACTCTTGAATCAGTGGTATCATTGTCTGTATCACTATCAGTAACACTCCAGTGACATAAACAGTAATGCTACAACAATAAAATCATGCATTAACAATAAATTCGTACAGTAACGATAAATTTAGTAATTAGTAATCATACTCACAACATACTCAACAAGTAAAAGCCCTGGCTATTATAGTGTTTTTCAGTCTTGTATCATATATCATAAATACACTTTGAATGTTTGATTGGCTTATTTAGACTTAGATAAGATCACTTATAGTGTTGATGAGTTCTTCTCATTGAGACATTCAGTTCAACTATAAGTTTGTTAAAATCAGAGTTTAGATGTTCCTGAATTTATTCTTGAAATTTACTCAATTAAATACTACTCTGAAATTTATGATATTCAAATGAAATTTTTGGAGACATATCAACATTAAAATTATTTAAGATCACCATGCAAAATCATTTATACATTGTAATATAAAGAACCCAAAAATTGATTCCAATGAAGAAAATAATTGCAAAACATTAAACAAGTATGTTTGAACATCTATATACATGACAAATCAATTTAAATGAATCATTTCCCTAAAATATAGAAAGCACAAAACAAAGGAGTTTTTTGGGATAGGTTCAAATCATATTCAAGCATTGTTCTACCATATTTCAAACTAGATTTGAACTTCGCGCAAATGATATTCAAACATAGTCGGAATAAAGTTTGAATATGATTTAATCAAAATTTATATATAATTGTAACAATTAATATAATGCCTATTATGCTTAAGAATTTAAATTTTTGTGACGATACAGAGTTATCATACGCGTTTGAAGATCGCGGGAGGCTGAAGTGCTAGGAAGAGGAGTGTTCAACCACCATTGTTATTCAAAAGTTCACCTATTTTTAATCAAATATTACAACTTATATTTTTATATAATAAATAAATTTTAGTTCAACATAAAAATAAATAAATAAATAAATAAATATATTTAACCAACTGAGTATATTATGAGGCAATATAAAATAAAACATACCTAGGATATATAGGAGTATTGAAATAACGTTGCCCTTTTCATATAATCGTGCGTGGAAGAGTTGCCGAAGTAGGACGCGGAGGAGCAATTTTTTGATCGGAGCCTTCTTCCTCGTATTCTTGAATCAGCGAAAGTACTGAAAATCTTAAATTTTTTTTCTCTGTGAACTAATCGATTGACCGCTCCATCGATGTTGAGGTTATGGAGATTGTACCAGAAATGCATGGAGGTGCATCCGGTGAAGACCCAGGTGATCAGTTCGGGGATCCTCTGGGGATTGGGGGATATCGGTGCTCAGGCCGTCACACATTCGACCTTGAAGAATAAGCAGAAAAACCAAGTAATACTTGACACTTTATCAAATTGCTTCTTTCTTCAGAGCAGTCTAGGAATCGAGACCCTTTTTGCTTGGTAATGTGCTTGATTCGACATTGATTGTGGGTCAATGCAGTATTTTTGAATAGTTGTTTTTTGTAACAACATATGAGTGCAGGTTTTCTCGCTTAATACCTGTTTTTTTGACGTTGTCGATAATTAGGGTTCTAGGGGAAAACTAATTTTATGCTATGATTAAATTTTGGGATTGCATGCTAGAGAATCAATGATTAATTGAGTGAGGATCTGAAGTGTTGATTGGAAGATGCCTATTGATTTTAAGGTAGATTCTGACTCAGTTTTAAGAACCAATTGGGATTAGCTATAGATATGCAGTTATGCAGTCATTATGTGGTAAGAATATGCTAGTATTATTGACATAGGCTTTGTTTTTAACACGCTAATTTAGTTTGCAAAAGTAGTGAATCATGTTAGAGACAACTGTAATCCTGTTTATTTCCTGGATTCTTGGATTGCTATTGGTGGAGAGAAGCGAGATGCTGTGTTTAATGCTAAGAAATCATTTCAAGATCCGAGTGCATGTAGGAAATTTAGAAGTAGTAAATTTTTTTTTTTTACTGTAGTGAACAATTGAGCATTCTTGAAGTAAAAGTAAGAAGAATTATCTAAGCTGAGAAGATTGAAACGCTTTAAAAAGGTTTAAATTACCATTTTAATGAACTTTCATCATCTTCATTGCAGGTATCATCAATTAGTTTTTGAAGGGGTCATCTCAGATAGTTTGAAACATGTTAAAAAAATTCTATATTGGCTTTAAATTGTGCCGTTGAGTTATTGTGCTTCAATATATCTTAGCTCTGTTTTGGTAAATAAAGCTAAAAAATTGAGCATTTTGCCCTTTTTTTTAGTCTGCTTTAGTTCAATTTCTATTTCATGTAAAGTAAAAAAAGTTGATTAATATTTTCAAAAGAATATCCAACTTTCTTTGGCTATTTAACATTCTCCATAGTGCATGGAATAGTGCGGATATTTGATATTGTTTAGCTATCTGTCTTTCCTTTGCTCATAGATAGTCATCATCTTCATTATCCCAACTGCTTGTGGTGTTAAACCTATTCTTTGCAAATGATTTTGAACAACTTCTATCCATGTAAAATTTGGTCTTCGTCTTTTCTTTTCTAATCATCTAACACTAGTTTTATATGTTTAAATCTTAAAAAAATTATAGATATTATAGTGCCAACTCTATTTTATTTACATTAACCAAGTTGTAAGGCTTCATTCACCAAAATGAATTGAAAATTTTTAAATATAGTAATTTTTTTTGTTTTGAGTAGAATTTTGTTTTTGTTTTTCTTTATTTGATATTTCAAATTGACATTAGGCATGTTTCTACATTGAAGTTTCTTGTAAATAATCCTTCACATTGATACTAATAGTTTGAGTGCCATTTGTTGCGATGTTTGTTTCCAATTTTTTTGTTATTTTTGTGTATGCCATAAAGGTGCCAAGTAATGGCATGGTTTTGTTTTTGTATTGATTATGCAATTGAAGAATGATCATCCTCTTCCCATTCTAATATTGGTTGAACTTTAAATATATGATCAAAACTATCCATTTTTTTAATAGAGCCTAAAAACTATGTTCATACATGATTTCATGAACTCTCTAGATAGTTTATCATCATCAAATGCTTCAAAACTTTCTTAATGGCTTTGATTCGATGAGCAGATAATTGTGATTTCAATCTAGAATGTTTCAAATGTTTGTTATTCAGTGTATGAGTTGGTGATGATGCTTGAGTTTATAATCATCAAATGCAATTGCACCCCCTAAGTTCCATGTGGTTCCGCCACTGTGTGATCTAGATTCTAGAGTTTTTGAAAATTTAGAGAAGTCCATAATGAGATTAGATACCCACTAGTCCTATCCATTAAAGGATACTTGGTGTCTTGCTTATCAAGGCATACACATTATATAGTGATGTAGCTATCATATTAAGTATCCCTGGAATGATGTGTATCCATGAATGTGTATCAATGAAACAATCTTGGTGTGTAATTGGTTAGAAAAGGGCTAGGGAAATTTAGCTGAATCGAAGGATTATTATAATTCCTTATGTGAAGGGTGTTTTTATATGCTTGTGTGTGCACTTTGGTGCATATTACATTATTACTCCACTGGATACTTAATGTATTAGCTACACTATATAATTCAGCATCCATCCACAATTACCAATTGAAGAGATGTACTAATCATGATGCTTATATTTTCTTTAAAAGGAAGATTGGCATTACGATCATTTTTCTTTCATGGTATGACAAGATAATAAGTGCTGAAAGGAAATGTGTATGGTACAAGGTGAAGGTAGCCTATATTGGGTGGATATACTTTAGGAAGAATGGTGATCAACCAATAATTGATGAAACCACAAAAATATCTTTTAAGGGAATTTTCCTATAATATGAAAAGGTATGTTCCTAGCATTTCAACTAATGGGTTCACATTAGAAGTACGTTTTTTCATTGGTGATAACTACCTCTAGGTGCCTTTCAACTAACATTTCTTTGATGTGCTTATGTTAAAAAAGTGAGGTTTATTAACTAGCCTAAAGATCAAAATAGGATTGATGGATGGGAAAAAAAAACAATCTTCAAGGATTCAATCATTTGTCTTGAAAGTCATATGATCATTGCTAATGAAACTTCTAGGCAATGTATCTTACTAGAATTGTGTTATGATCTCTGTTTCTCTCTCCTTCTCTGTGTGTGTATATGTGTCTCTCTCATTGTGGGTGGGGATCTTAGTTTTAGAAATCTAGCAAGTGAATGGGAGCACATGGAGTTAAGGGTTTAAGTCTCTCTGCCCACCCCAAAATGTGAGAGAATTCTATCTATATAACATGAGGAGTAGGGATGGAATCTATGACCTCTAGGATTAAAACAAGCATTTATACCATCTAAGCCAAGGCCATTGGTATGTGTTTGTCTATTTTGCACTGAAACACCTATTTAAGAAGGTGTGCTATATCTGATACACTGATACACAGATACGCCTGCGATACAACACTGATACGTGTCAGATACGGCAAAGCTGTATCCAATTAAAATACTATTTAATTTCAAAAGGACACACGTATCCGATACGTGTGTTCTTTGAAAAGCCAAAAAAATTCAAAAAAAAGACGCGTCGTATTTACTTTCGTGGCTGCGAGCGAGGTTCTCTCATTTCAGAGATGCATTTGAGTCTCTTGATGATATTGGAATATTAGAAATTGCTAAACTTTTACTTGATGAGCCTGAATTAGAAGCTATGATATTTATTGAAGATGATATAGAAGTTCAAAGACAAACTACTAAAGAAGCTAATCATATCATTCCTTCTATTGAATAGTTGAAACTTCATATACTAGACAATTTACGTTTATGCTTTTGTTGTTGTACTAGAGATTTAATGCTTACTTTTATTTTGATATTATAAGTTACAAGGCTACAAATGATGTTGATTTCATTTTTTTTTTGTAATTTCAATTATTATGTTTTGATTGCTTTCTTAATTTTTATGTATGATTTATAAATTACAATGACGTGTCAGCGCCGTTCCCGTATCCTATATTTTTAGGAATTGACGTGTCCCATATCCGTATCGTGTCGTATCCGTGTCGCCGTATCCGTATCGGTGCAACTTAGGTGTTTGTTAATAAACTAACTACAAATGGCCCCAAATATACCCATGAAAGGCACTACTAGCCACTGATATGAGCGCGTGGCAATGTGGATTACCTCTTCTTGCCAACAGTAGAACTAATCCAATTCTAATCCTTATCCAATGTAAATTTCTATTCAATTCTCTGAAAAGGAAGTAACTTATCCATCGACAGAAGTCCAATAAAGCCCCTATTCTACCAAGGTGAACAATTATTTTCAGTACATTTCACATCGGAGCAGGAATTGATAACTTTTACAGTTTACCATGACAAAACCAAGAAAGAAAGAAAAAAGTGAAATTGACTTAATTCTTACTGATGATGTTACCAGTTATTGCGATTATTTATTCAATCACTCTTATGTCAGCATTAAATTTAGCCTAATATTTTTTGCATTTCAGTCTTCATCCCACACTTCCATCCCACACTAAACTAATTTCAATAGCAAAATTGCAATTTAAAAGATTATTCACATGTGGAATTTAAGAATAACTCAGGACAATATCTTCTTCAATTGAATCAATAGAAATTGGCAATGAAATGGGTGGGCTGATTATCTTAGAGCTTAGACAGGATAGGGTTTGTCAGCTTGGAAAGGAACGACCCTATCAAGTAATTTAAAAATAAAAGAAGAATAAATAAGCACTTAAAATCTATGAACTTCAATTGAAAAAACGCACGGCCTGATGCATCAGACTATGAAGTGTTGTAGTAACACAAATTTCTTGATAGAGATTCAAGTGTACGTGCCTATGATGCATAGACACGGACACGATAAGACACAGATACGGGACATGTCTATTAATAAAAATATGTGATACGGACATGGGTTGGGCATAGTATTATAATTTTATATCTTAAAAACAATGCATAGAATTGAATAAGCAGAGTATTAAGAATAATTGATAAATAACAAGTCATTTAACTAGGATCTATACTTAAATAATTAATATTAGAATGTCGAGAGTCAGACGTGGATGTCATGTCAGACATTGAGATGAGAGACGACAATGCTATCAAGAGTCAAGCATGGATGTTGTGCAATGGTGCATCAGGCACAATGTTAAGACAGCATCGGCCCTTGATGTTGAGATGATGTTAAACAAAGATGAGATGTTTAGATGACATAGATGCATGATTGTGAGTGTAAAAATTGATGGCATCATGCTTCAATGTTAAGACAACATAAATCTGACTTCAATGTTGAGATGCATTGAGATGAGAGACGACAATGCTATCAAGAGTCAAGTATGGATGTTGTGCAATGGTGCATCAGGCACAATGTTAAGACAACATCG